GAGGTGTGCGGCTTTGCCCCCTATGAGCGGCGTGCCATGGAGCTGCTCAAGGTCTCTAAGGACAAGCGGGCCCTGAAGTTCATCAAGAAAAGGGTAGGTGGTCTGTCGGGATGGGATTGGTGCCCGGGCTGAAGGCCTCCTTGCCAGGCAATTGGGGGGACACATCTGTGCCAAGAGGGAGGGTGGGATGGGGGCCCAGGCTGATGACCTCCTTGCCTGCAGGTGGGGACACACATCCGAGCCAAGAGGAAGAGAGAGGAGCTGAGCAATGTCCTTGCAGCCATGAGGAAGGCAGCAGCCAAGAAGGACTGAGCCCCAGCCCCTCTGTGTGGAATAAAACATTTTTGGAAACTTGGAGTTCCTGTGGTGGCATTAAGAGGAGAGGTCCATTATCTGCTTGAGACCCATGGTGAGAAGCATAGTGGTGGTCACAGAAAGAAGCACCAGATAGGCAGTGCTGGAAATGGTGTTTAATCATAATTAAGTAGTTCATACGTGCCAGACTCCATGATTAAACCATAACTGAGGTCCTTGGGCTCCAGGCCACTTGCTGAGCCTCTTGGTGGTCCGACTGCTCAGGGTCCCCCAGTGCAGTTTCAGCTGAGGCTGGGCCTGTGGCTACCAGCAGTGCCTAGGTCCCCATCACCGCTCCACGGCCAGGGCCTCTGCCTGCTCCTCGGGGAAGGCGATGTCAAAGATCTCCCGGTAGTGCTCCACGAAGTGGACCTCTAGGCCCTCGGTGATGAAGGCAGCCAGGTCATAGAAGTCCTTCTTGTTCTCAGCTGGCAGGATGATGCACGTCACCCCAGCACGCTTGGCCTGGGAGACGGGACCTCGGGTCAGTCGGGACAGGATGGCTACCCCAGGAGGGAGAGGGCGTGGTGGGCACCCTGCTCACAGCGGCCCTGAACCAGGCCGCCACAAGCCCTGTGTCACAGATGAGGGCACTGAGGCCCGGGGAAATGGCACTGGCTGCTGCTCCAGCAGCCTGGGCCTCTTCCTGGAGTGTTGCGCGCTCAGCCTGCCACTCCCTGTCCCCCAGTGCCTGGATCAGTCAGCACCTACCGCTTTACCTGTAGAGTTAGGCATCTAAAAATGCAATGAATGGTAGCTGAAGAAAGACACTGAAAATGTAGCTATCACTAAATTTTTTTCCAGTCTTCCTGGCCATCTTGCCCAATCCATGCAGCAGCCAGAGGGCACCACTCCACCCATGGCCCTCCAGGGTTCCCACCACCCTCCCTCTGGGTGGAAGCGCTTGTCCTCACAGCAGGCCCAGTCCCAACCGGGCCTCCCCACTTGGTGGACAGTTCCCACTGCAAGCAAGGAAAGAACCCCTGCCTGAGGCTGTGCTGTCATAGGACTCCTGTCAGATTGAGGCCCCTGGAGGCTGCTTTAGGGGAAGGGGCAGTGCTCTGGGGGTGGAGAATTGGGGGGCTCAGGACACAGTGGGGTCCTGCTAGGAGCTGGACATGCAGGGAACCCCAACAAAACAGCCTGCCCAGGGCCAGGGCAGAACACCACCCCTACCCTCACGCCCGCATCTACCACAGCCCTCCAGCCTTTTCTCTGTGCCCATGTTCTCGGTGCCAGGCCAAGTGGGCAATGAGGAACCCTCAAGGAGTCAGATGGGGGGAGCGGTGTCTGTGGGGAGATCTAGAATATTGTCCAAAATCTTGAAAATGCTGAGAGCCACTGGAGGTGGCGGCTGGGACAGTCAGCTCAACAGGGCTCCTGGCCAGCTGAGCCTCAGTCCAAATCCCATGCCCACCCAGTCTGTAAAATGGGCCGTCACCCTCGTCTGATGTGAACGGTGACTGACTCCCACAACCACGGCAGTGTGGAGCACAGCACTCACCGCAATAGTCTTCTCCTTGATGCCACCCACTGGCAGGATCTTGCCTGTGAGGGAGACCTCGCCCGTCATGGCCAGGTTCTGCCGCACTGGCCGGTCAATGGCCAGGGAGAGCAGGGCTGTGACGATGGTGCAGCCAGCACTCGGGCCGTCCTTTGGGGTGGCACCCTGGAGGAAGAGGCAGGTGGGTGATGTGCAGGCGCCATGCACAGCGGGCAGGCCTGGCACTACCAGGGCACAGTCGGGCCTCACCTCAGGCACATGCAGGTGGATGTGCGAGGTCACCAGGTACTGGTTGCTGGGGTCGTGCTGCATCAGAAAGGCTCTGGCAAAGGTGTATGCAATGCGGGCGCTCTCCTTCATCACCTCCCCCAGCTGGCCTGTTACCTCCAGGCTCCCATCCTTGTCCCCCTTGCTGTCCTTCTCCAGTGGCCGCCTTGGGGACGTCTCAACAAACAGCGTGGAGCCTCCTGGAAGAGGCCAGTGTGAGCCTTGGGACAGTTCAGGTTCCTAGGACAGCCACCCCCTCGCTGCTGGGCCACCTCAGGATGTTCCCTTCTGTCCCTGTCTGTCTGCAACACTTCACCGCTCTCCCACCAAGGGCCCTATGTCATGTACCCCCAACACAGCCTGCCAGCACTGGACAAATTCTTAGGCAGTGGCTTTGAATACAGCCCAAAGAAGCAAACTTGCCACCCAGAGCCTGTTTCCTGACATACCCCATAAAACTGCACCCAACCCCACCGGCCAATGACAGGATAACCCCTGGGCTATATAAGGCCCTAAACCACGGGCTGAGCAACGCACTTGGACACAGAAATCCCCCTCCTCTGCGGAGTGGTCCCTAGGGTCTCATGCTGTGAGGCACTCCCAAGGTGGCACACCTGTCAAAGCATCACCCCAAAAAAGCTGGAGTGCTCCTGCCACCTTGTGGTCCCACCTTCCCTCCAGCAGCTCTGCTGCACCACTAGGCAGCTGAGGGGCCTTCAGAGCAATGAGCAGCTAACTGCTCAGGTGCATTAGCGACAGCGATGGACTTCTCCCAGGGGACAACCAAAAGGACATGCAGTACTCACCCATGGCAGTCCAGGCCAGCCCCATGACCACGCCGGGTGGCGTCACGTCATACATGCGCTCCACAGTGAACACTGGCTTCCCCACGAAGTCCTGCAGGTTCTCGGGTGTCACCTCCACCAACTCTGCCTCACCGCTGACAATCTTGTAGGCGGACTTCCGTAAGACCTGCAGAGGGCGGCGGGGTGAGGGAAGGCCTGGCCACAGGCCCCAGCTCATCACCTCATCTGTTCTTTTTGCTTTACTTTTTTAAATTCTGTAAAATGTCCAACATAAAAAATGTACCATCACAACCATTTCTAAGTGCACAGCTCAGTGGCATTAAGTACATTCACATCATTGTGCGTCCATCCCCCCATTCATCTCCAGAACTTTCCCATCTCCCCAAACTGACACTCTGCCCCCATTAAACATCACTCCCCTCCCCCTTCCCCATTACCACCAATGACTTCCTGTCTCTCTGAGCCTGACTCCTGGAACCACAGGAGCGGGATCAGACAGCACCTGTCCCGTGTCTGGACCCCTTCAGGCACATCGTGTCCTCCAGCTCACCTTCTCCACCTGCTTCTGCAGGTTGCGCACGCCGCTCTCCCGGCAGTACTGCTTGATGAGGACAGTCAGCACGTCCGACGACAGCCTGGCCTTGCTTTCATCCAGGCCACACAGGGCGCGGGCCTGAGGCACCAGGTACCGCTGGCAAGGAGGACAGCGTGCCCTCAGGACTGTCCCAGGACTCCAGGGATCGCCCCACCCCGACCTAGGCCTCAGGGTCCAGAACCAATGTGGCCCCATCCACCACCCAGCCAAAGATCCCTGGCTGGTAGAGCCCCCAGGTGGACCCAGGCCCTGCCCTCACAGAGCTCTGGTCTCCCTGGGGAATTGGGGTCATCCAACATACACAGTGTGTCAGTACAGGCTACTCCAGGAGACAACACCTAAGTCACCTGAAGGGTAAGGAGCCAGTAAGGTCTGTTCAGCCAGAACCCAGCAAGTGTCAGGACCCTGAATGGTGGGCCTGCAATCTGTAGACGTCCAGCTTGCCACCTCTGCTCCTGCTGTATCTTCTGCCCAGATTTCTGCCCTCCCTCCAGATGTCATATTAGATACCACTTCCTCCAGGAAGGCCTCCCTGATCCCTAGGATCACCCCACATGCAGACTGAGCACCCATGTGCCAGGTTATGTGGCCACTGCTCTGAGAAAACGGAGCAGTCAGAGGCTTCATGGTCACCCACAGCCCAACAGAGCTCCTGCCATACAGCAGTCACTGGACAGATGGTCCTGAGCACTGAGTTGGGGGGAGTCCATTCACACTGGGGTTAGCCCTGGAGCCCCTAGGAGTCCGTGTGTCCTTCCTGTCATCACTTCAGGGGTTTGAAGGCCCCACCGTCGCCCCCCACACCCATTTGGCCCCTCCTTTATCCAGTCCAGTCTCCAGCCATGGATGGAGGATGTGGTGGTTAAGTCTCGGCAACTGTTATCACCTCAGCCATGAGCTCCTCTTCCCCAACACCCCCAGGACCTGACCCAAGGGCTGGGACCCAGCACCCAACTCAGGGCTACAAGGGGCTCAAGGGAGAGAAATGTGCTCAACACCTTTCCAGAAAGAAAACTCTGCACCACTTCCCTATCCCTCACCCTGTACATCTCTCGGGCTGTCCCCAAGTTGTATCCTTTATAATAAACCAGTAACAGTTAAGTAAATAGTTTTCCTGAGTTCTGTGAGCTGTTCTAATAAATTATCAAATCCAAGGATGGAGGTGGTGGGAACCCTGATTTATAGCCAGCTGGTCAGAGGAAGAGAGGCCTGGGACTTCTGATGGCATCTGGTTGGGGCAGTCCTGTGGGATAAGCCCTGAACCTGCTGAGGTCTGCCACTAACCCTGGGGAGTATTACCACCTAACTGAATTGCAGGACACTCAGCCAGACAACTGGCTGGTGGGAAACACCCACGCTGGGTGTCAGCGGTATGACAGTACACAGTTTACAACAGGCCTTGATGGATCTCTTGGTGACAGGTCACACTACACCACATGGCAGATCTCGTATTTATCCCGTCTCCCCCTCAGAACGGGAACTGTGACAACAGGGTCACCACGGACTGCACCCCCCACTCTGGTTAAGTGCCTGCACTTAGTGGACACTAAGATGTTCCTTAACCCCAAGATGCAGTGGGGCACCCCTTCCCAGGTCTCAAGACAATTGTGGGGGGCGGTGGGGGGCTGGCCTTACTTCTGCAATGGCAAGCTTCTCCTGAGCCACATAGCCTGACACATTGATCATCTCCATGCGGTCCCTCAGCGGCTCTGGGATGGTCTCGGTGATGTTGGCTGTGCAGATGAACAGCACCTGCGGGAGGGAGGTGATAAGGGGTGCTGAAAGACTGGTCGTCCTGCCTCTCCCTCCAGGCCCAGCCCCTGGCCGGGAC